GTTACATCATTCTTCTCTGGACAAAAGAAAACCAGGCATGTAAGTGTATATAGGGAGAAATGGAAAGTTCGTTCAGGCAAGTGTTGAAACTGTCCGTAATTCAAATAATTTAATTGTTAAAATAAAGACTAGATTTTTAAAAATGTAGAGAAATTCCTTTATCTCACTAAAGGGCTGGTATTTCTACAAGAACACAGTTTTTTTATTTTATTATTTTATTTTATTTTATTTTATTTTATTTTATTTTATTTTTTAATTTATTTTATTTTATTTTATTTTATTTTATTTTATTTTATTTTATTTTATTTATTTTTTTTTTTTTAATTGAAAAGAGCGATGAAAATATCACCTCTTTCAAATGCAAATTATTATTATTTTCTAAGTCTAGTATAACAGTGACTAGCATAATAGTGAAGGAAGCAACAATGTTCCTGTCATAGAATGTATTAACTTTGGCATGTTAGTAAATTTGACAGATGACTTTATCACCAAAACAGGAGAAAGTATATTTAAGTGATATCTTGTTTTTTTTTATTAGCTGTATCTTGGGTGCAACCTGGACCTATTATGATTATACCATAATTACACTACAATGAAAAAACAGAGCATTTGTAATCTACTGACATGCCCCATAAGTTTATTTGTTTTAGTGGCTACTGAATGCTGTATTTCAAGATATAAATTGATAAAATATGTGACAAATTATATTTCCTTTCTCTGATAAAATCACTAGCCATAGATTAAATGTACATTTGGGTACATTTAAAGGTACATTAAAGTTACATTTAGGTTTTAGGTTCTTTCACTCTAGTCTTATATCAGAACCTGATCAGACTGATCACAATTTGTGAGTAAAGAGCTATATAGAATGATAGAATTCTTCAGGTTGGAAAAGACCTCTAAGATCATGTAGTGTAACCATTAACCTAGCACTACCAAGTCTACCACTGAACCATGTCTCTAAGCACTTCATCTACATGTCTTCTGAATACCTCCAGGGATGGTGACTCAGAGACTTCCCTGGTGAGCCTGCTCCAACAGTTCACAACCCTTTCAGTGAATATTTTTTTCCTAATATCCAACCTAAACCTCCCCTGATGAAACTTGAAGCCATTTCCTCTTGTCCTGTCACTTGTTGCTTGGGAGAAGAGAACAACCCCACTACAACCTCCTTTGAGGTAGTTGTTGAGAGAGATAAGGTCTCCCTTTTCTCTAGGCTCAATAATCCCATTTCTCTCAACCACTCCTTATAATACTTATTCCCTAGACACTTCACCAGCTTCATTGCCCTTCTTTGACGTGCTCCTGTATCTCAATTTCTTTCTCCTATTGAAGGTCCCTAGACTGAACACAGTTTTTGAGGTGCAGCCTCACCAGAGCTGTTTACAGGGGGACAAGCACTTCCCCAGTCCTGCTGTGGCCTCCCTGGCCTCACTGTTTCTGATACAAGCCAAGATGCTGTTGGACTTCTTGGCCATATGCAGCATGGTTCAACATTCACAACTTGTTATCTCAGCATAATGATGATAGTTTTCTGAAAAACAAGATACTGGGCCATTTTGTATTGGGATTGTCTTCTACCCATATGTCCATGCATAAAAAGAAAGGTAAAACAAAGAAGAGAAAGGTTATACTTTGGCATGTATTAGAATGATTCACACAGAAGGACAATAGGTAACTACTGTGGCTTAAGTTTGATTCTTGTTTTATTTCAAGAAGTTGGCACTCCAAATGAAGGTTTGCAACAAAATAACAGTAGAACTCACCGTATTAAATGATTACAGCAATCTATACCAAAACCTCATCAAATCTATTTTCACTTCTAAAGTTGGTCCAGCTAAAACTGATTTTGTAATTTTCTAAGATTCCTGTACTGTTGTCATCTTAATTAAAGCTACTTTTCTTTGTAGGTTGCCAGAGGTCTGAAAGCCTGAACAAAGGTATATCATTTCATCAGTAAATGTACATTAAGCCCAGTTTTTCTGGAACTGTCAATACCATTTGCATACACAGCAAAGCATAGCTGTACAGTACTTTGTGAGAAAACCCAAGCAGAAAAATGGCAATCCTGACAGCAGTCAAGGAGCCACAGAAATAATTAGAGGCTGCATTTGGAATAGCATATGAGTCTAGAAGCTATTTTAGAAAGCTGGAATTGTAAAAGTAGGACATGGAAAAATGTATTCAGTCATTCAGTTTCCCTTTGTTGATGCAAGATTGTTGCCTATGGCTATCTTTATTTTAGGGCTTTATGGCTACCTTTATTTTAGGGCTACTTTGAATTTCTTGGTGCTGAAAAACTACATATGAGTTCCAGCACAGACTTCTCTTTTTACAATATTTCCAAACCTCTTTGCACTGTGGCTTTCTGAGAAGTTGTATTTGTTGATGGAAGTGAAAAGTGCAGAGGTAGCAATGAACATGGAAGCAATAATGACATTAGCTACCACTTCACAGAATGAAGTGGTAGCATTCCCCCAAATGATCAGTTCATTGCTCTTTTCTTCTCCATGTTTCTAATGCAGATAATGAATAAAACTGGTTCCAGGAGCTACCCTATTGTGCCCCACTGCATGCTTTTCTCCACCATAAAAAGTAATGGTTAAATCCTATCCTTTTCTTTCTACACTTTAACCAACCTTCAATGCATAAAACAAACTTTTACTAATCCTATGTCAATACAGGAATTTTTTGTTAGTTTGTTTTGTTTTTTCTTAACAGCTTTTGGTGAGATCAAAGGCTTTTTGAAAATACAAACACATTGGACCAACTTTATCTTATTAGTACCTATGTTTATTGGCATTCTTAAAGAACTGCAGCAGGTGAGAAACAGAGGATTTCTCTTTACAGAAGATATTGTAGAATCATAGAATCATAGAATATCCTGAGTTGGAAGGGACCCACAAGAATCATCGAATCCAACTCCTTGGTCCCCAAAGCACCACCCAAAAAATCAGACCATGTGTCTGAGAGTGTTGTCCAAATGCTTCTTGAATACCGGCCGTCCTGGTGCTGACCACTTCCCTTGGAAGCCTGTTCCAGTGCCTGACTATTGTCTCGGTGAAGAACCTTTTCCTGATATCCAGCCTGAACTGTCCATCACAGCTTCAAGTCCTTTTCTCAGGTCCTATCACTGGTCACCAGAGAGCAGAGACCAGCACCTGCCCCTTCACTCCCCCTCATGAGCCATTGTGGCTGTAGGCCACAATGAGGCCTACCCTCAGTCTGCTCTTCTCCAGGCTGAAGATACACTGAATCTTTCCCAACAAACTGCATGTATCAATGTGTTCAAAGTTTTTTTTTGTTTTTATTTTTATTACAGATGTGACCATCCTATCAGGAATAGAAGTTGGAACTATTGCTCTCTAATAGCCATGATCTTAGCTAGATCTCCTTCCACAGACATGAATCACCTTGACAACCTGCCTGTCCTGTAAGCACAGTGTTCTCATAACCACAGAATCATAGAATCTTAGCATCATAGAATCAAAGCATCATAGAATCATAAGATAGTTTGTGTTGAAAGGGACTTTAGCACCAACCACCATGACATGGGTAGGAATACCTTCCACTAGATCATGTTTGCCAAAGCTCCATCCTACATGGCCTTGAACACTTGGTAAAATATCATCTGATCCTGGTTACTGATGAACATCTATTTTTTTTCAAACATATCCTGTTCATTGCTCAGAAATCATTAAATTTCTCTGACCTGTGTGTTATTGAGCTTATCTGCTATGGTCTTACCATAACTGACGTTTTTTTACAATTTTGCCTCCATTGACCTTTTCTCTGTGATAATCTTCTTAACTTTCCTTCTGGACTGCTGTCCTAATGTAGGATTTTGAGGTCTTTTAGTTATTTTGCTTTCTTTTTTAATTTGACATTCATTTTAATTGGACTTCCAGTGAAACCTTTTCTAAGTAGTGTTCAAGATGTCTGGTGGTTTCTTCTCTCTCTCTTTTTTATTTTTACCCCCGGATTTACTAATTTACTAATTGCTTTGTAAAGTTTTCTTCCTCTCTGGAAATTGAAAAATCACATTCTGGATATTATTTTTATTTTATTTTATTTTTTTACACGTTCTCCTCCCCTTAAACCTCTTTTTTTTTTTAAAAAAAAAAAAAAAAGGTGCTACTACAGTTCATATCTCTCAATAATACCTCACAAAATGGGTTGTCTTGCATTGTTTAAGACCAAATTCAGAACATGATCTTTTCCTGTGTATTCTAAGACTCTACTCAAGAAAATAAATCATTCATCATTTCCAAAATGTTTATATTTGCACCTCAGCATATTCAGGCACTTATCAGATTCCTAGATAGGTAATAAGAACCTCTCCCAAATACAGAACTCACTACCATTGTCCTGATCAGGATATAGTTCCATGCTAGCTCTACATTTTTACCAATTACATAAAATTTCCACCTAAAAGGACTAATGATTTTCCTTTTTTAACTTAGCACTTTATTGTTGTTTAAGCTTCATGTTACTCTTCACATATTGTCACTCTTCCTCATAGTCTAGCTTTCCTGTGAAGCTGGAAACCTGGTGACACATCTTCCTTCCAACAAGTCTCTGAGATAACTGGGCTGGTATTTTGATTCCAAACATTTATTATCTTATTTTGCAGGCTCCCAGCATGGTTGTGGAAGGATTAACAAGTATTGCACCTATTTCACAACTTAACATCACAAATGCCATGTACATGTATGTGTACATATGATGAAGATGATGATGATGATGATGTAATCGTAACAAGAATGTCATTAATTTCCCTTCTCACTTTTAAGGACACACTCAGAATTACCCATCCAATTATGCAGACTGTGTCAGCTGCTCTTGTGCAGCATCTGTTTTTCTTTTAACTGATGATTTAAATAATTCTTTATGGGCTTTTTAGGTTTAGTTTATTTTTTAACCATTATGAGTAAGACGCAGCTGGTTTGTTTCTGTTCATGTTCCTCCTGTCAAAAGAGCTTCTACACTTCTTAACATACCTGAAACCGTTCTGTCTATTCAACCCTCTTCAACATTCAGTTCCTCCAAATATCAAGACTCTAGTCTTCTACCTCTGTGTAGAATTAAATGGGTTTGCAGAGTTCAAGGAGAGTTCTTCAGCTAAAGAAAAATAAGCTTGAAAAAAGAATGAAAGCAGTTGTGGTTAAAAGTGGACAAAGCAGTAGATTGTCACATTAAGAAAAGTGGAAGTTTCTTGAAGCCTTGAAGTCTCATAATGACCTTCAGTGCAGTAAGCATGAGTCAGAGAAATACCCATGAAAAGCTGATGTTATACTTAAATGGCTGGCCTAACTAGATTATTCTAAACCCAGGAGTTTTAAGAGTATCAGAAATGAGAACAATGGCATCTTTTCAACAGATTATTATTATTATTTTTTTTATTTATACCACAGAAAGCATGTCTTTGAAGCCCATATTCACAGTCTTTGTTTAGTGGTGCCCTCAATTCCCAAACTATGTAATGTTGAAAATATTTTCCTGAAAATGTCAAAAAATATTATTCCAAATTCCTGTCTTTCACAGTCATCATTAGTATATTTTTTCCTGTCCTTAAGATACGTGGTTTATGGAAGAAGTTTATACAAACCTTTCACTGATTCAAATTTCAGTTTTAAAGCAGTATTAAGCAGCAAGTTAAAAACAAACAAGCAAGAAAACAAACAACAACAAGAAAACTAAAAACAACAAAAATAAACAGATGAAAGTCTTAAAGAGTACTCCTTTGTTCTGTGGCGATATAAAAAGGTAACTAACTTCTCAATATTGCTTGGAAAAAAAGTTGAAAGGGGAGAAAATGTATGTTTAAACTTGGGAATGATTTTATTTGATTGACATGTAAAATACAGTCTAAATTCTAAAGAACTTGTTAGGCTACAAGCACAACTAGGAATTGAATTCATTTCTGTGTTCTGTCATATCTCTAGGAAAATCATATGTTCATTCTTATATAAGCAGGAAGATGAAGAAAGCACTTGTTTAAGAAAGTTGGAAAAAAACAGGTTCAGCCATTTTATTGTTATTATTATTATGTGTAAGTATAAAAATAATTCATCATCATATTGTTCCTAAATGATATATCCCTTATATACATAGCAGTTGCTCTTGAGAGAAACTGAAAACAAAAATTACATATACTTATCAGTCCTCTCACCCCCAAAGTGAGTCAGTATATTTCCATTTTTATGAGAGTTACCACAGGTGTTTTTTTTTGTTTTGTTTTGTTTTTGTTTGTTTGATTGTTTGTTTTAGTGTGCTATGAATTTACCTTCTATAAGTTCACATATTTCACATATTTTGCTATTTTGTAGGTCTAGATTAACCCTTGATCTCTTTGCTTTTGATTCCTTTGGGCCCTCTTTGTCCAACTTACTATAGGGAAATATTAGGTTTCTAAGAAGTAAAGTAGAATAGATTGTAATGTTAGATAATTCTTAAGAGTATTAATGTTATTTTTTAAAGCCACACTCAATAGGTCTTTGGCCACTATCATTTTAGTCTTGTTTAGTAAAGTAACTATCATTGCTTGCCTCATAGACATTCAAGTAAAAAGTCCCATTTAGAACTAAGCCCAGCAGAAGAAAAGTCTAATTTTCAGAGTTAATATTTGCAACTTTCAGTGAAAGCAGTGAGTTCTGCATACTTAACAGATCATCAGGATCCATTAGGTACGTTCATCACACTATCCAAGTTGTCTCTTTCTGACACTTATACCTTTTAAATTTATCATTGCAAAGATTATAGTATTTTCTTTGTATTACAAAGATTTTTTCTGACCCCAGGAAATGGTTTTGCACCAGAAGCTAAAGTGAACTTGAAATTTCTTGTGAAGGTTGAACTGTTCAGAAAATGTTTTTGTTGCTTTCAGGATTGCATCATGGCAATGATGATGGCTCAGACAAGCCCTTCAGTCACTGTTTATTCAGTTCATTTTTGTCACAATTTATTACTTTTGTAGGTAGTTTTGGACAAGCTGCCCATATGAAGACAACCAAAATCCCATGTTAACTATATCTACTCACTCTCTGCTATTTTTAACTTAATGTTTTATTTATTTTATTTTTATTTTTTTTACCAACTAAATCAGAGTGGACACAACAGAAGTTAGCATGGTTTTCATCAGCATTATAAATTCAGCTTGGGATAATGTTCATTAGGCTATGCTGTTGTCATCCTGGACTGTGAATGATTCTCAGTGGCACTGACAGTAGCATGCAGATATCTTAAGTGACCCACAGCCCAACTGAGATGAGAGCTACCAAAAAATATAGACATGCCTTCTTGAACCACAGCTGAAAAGTCTGGAGAGGAGCCACTTCTGGTTTAGGAAATATATGTTTAATGGAGTTACCTGCTGGAAAAATACTAGGATTCAGAATGAAGATGGGAATGTTTAGGGAAAGAGCTTGGATTCCACTGTTAGCCTTTAAAGTTGTTTTACATGCAAACACAAGATGCCTCACAACCTTGCTCCACTGGGCTCCCTTAAGGACTGAGAGCTGGCAATATCGACCAAGATACTACATCCTTCCAGTCATCCAGGTGGGTGAGAATGTTGACATGAATGTCAACACATATCAACTCCCTCAACTCCCACTAGAGCTTCTTGGAATTTTCAGTCCACTTTCTTGTGAGACAGCAGGAATGTTAAAAAGGTGTAAGTGCTCCCCTTCTAAGGGCCCCAGATTCCACCACCTTTACTCAGGCTAGTCAGTACTCTACCATGAATAATATGAGTGATTTCCATGTGACAGGGTAATTCAGTGCCAATGAACATTGTGGATTTTAGTCTTCTTATAATTTTTCTCATCTCCTATTCTTCTAACTTAATGTCCACTTCTGACAGGTTACAAGGAAACTTGTACCAATGTATCTTTATGTCACTCAGGAGCAAGGACAGCAAATCAAAATCCAGTCTAGGTTGTTTTTTCGTGTGTTTGATTGTTGTTTGGTTTAGTTTGGTTTCATTTTTGTTTGTTTGTTTTGCTTTTTAAATTAATTTTATGTCTAATCTCAGTCAAGTAATATTTGCCATTGCAGAGAGAGTCCATCGCTGAATGTTCCCATGATTAATTTTCCTTCAACCCATAAAGACAAACAAGATTTGATTTTCTGGTATACTCATTTTTGCAGATCGGTGTGTCCAAATTCTTCAATTTCTCTATTCAGATACTGTTTCCTTGGAAACAGCAGCCCACATGCTTCATATGGCTTAATGTATGTTCTACCAATTGAGAAACAGGAAATGAAAACAAGCATTATTTAATGATTTGTTAATGTTTAAATATACAGGTGATTACTTTAGTAGTTTTTTCTTACTTCTATCTCATAGCCTACACATTGAGGAATCATTTAGAAGACGACTATCAAAGAAATTATATAATTAGGAGTCAGGCCAGTAGGTTTGTTTGAAGAAAACATAACCATGAAATCAGTACTGCAAGATTCAAATTTACTGATGAAATCCTCAAGATGGTTTAATATTGAGCAAATCTGTAAGTCTGTGGTAGTTCAGGAAACAAGTGATGAAGAAAAGTTTCAGAAATGTTTTCAATTGTTTTGCTCCTAGAAGAGATTCCCGAGAAAAGATTGGGGGGATTCTACATCACATACATAATGTGTCTATTCAAATCGAACAAAAAGTAGAGTTGCTTTATATGTATAAAGGGTGCTTGCTCATGATTTCTTAGTATAATACCAACATTTTTCCTAATATTTTTAAAGCTCTTCTTTTATGTCTATTCTACTTGCCTTGACTACTATATACAGTTTTTAGAGTAGAATTACAATACTTTCCCACCAAAATCAGCCAAGCAAAAAACAACTTATGTCAGTCAAAACATCCCCTGCCAGATCCTAGAATCAAAACATAGAAAGACAACAAAAATCCATCCTGATTCCTTTATATAACTCTTATCTCATTCTTCATCTTCTTTTCAGAATAAAGGCTATTTATTACATTTCCTCAAATACTTTAAGGTGCTAATCCAAAAGAAAAACAGACTCTCAGAACTCACAGTAAATTTTAGAAATTTAGTGACAGCTAAAAAGAGTTGGAATAAAGACAAAAGTAATTCACTCTGGTAATAATGGAATATGGAGCTTTTTATTACCTATCACAGGTCACTGTTCTACTTCCAGTTGAGTGTAGTAGTAGCCCTAGAGTGTTACTTTCTGACAGCTATTTAATGATCTATATAAAATGAGTTTCTCAACTGCATTTTCCAGTTCCTAGGTATATGAATATACACTTTGATAAGATTTGGCACCATTTTGACAAGTCATACTTGAGAGGCCAGGGAATGAATGTGACATATCTTGACCCAAGAATGTCTCTTCCAGATTAGAGCTGAGGTAAATAAGTAGAGAAGCTTGAATTAGGAGACCCTGTATTGATTTTGTTCAGTGATGACTTTAGTCTCTAGAATTCTTGATATCAAATTTCTCACCAACTTTAATTTAATTTAGAAGTCATTTCAAGAAATTGATTTTCTCTTCGTAAGTGATTACATTTTATCATTTGGGAACAGGGAAGGCTGGAGGTGGGAGATACTGTTAGTTGTTTTTTAAAAGATACTTTTGTCCAGGTGAGTATTCAGGCTCTCAGATGATACCTATTCCATCAGGGTGAGAGTTTGTTATTATCAAGAAGCAAAAATCTCAAAGTGTTTGCACCTCCAACCCCAAAGGGTTAAAATTCAGGTTAAGTTCAGATTTTTGCAAAAACACTCAACAAAACAATGAAATTCTTAATGATGAACTGAGCCCTTAATTGTAGCAGGTACTGATGGTGCAAACAGAGGATATTCCAGACATAGCCAAACTCAAAGCTTTATGGATGGGACATAATTAATTTGGGGTTTAAAGGTCATAGCAATCTAAGGGACAGTTTTCCAAAGAAGACGTAAAGCAGGTGATATTCAAAATTCAACTGGACATAACCTCAAACAACCTTCTTTGAGCAGTGGAATTAAACAAGACAGTCTCCTGAGATCTCTTCCCATCTCAGCTATTCTGTGGTTTGTGATTTTTTATGTGGTATCTATATCCAGTGCACTACTGTACCAAAGCAATAAGAGAAGGAAAGGGAAAGTATTATCTTTCTCCAGCAATGGTAG